GTTAGTTGAAGGTTTATTTGTAAGCGAAAAGCATCCATCGTTACAAACATGCCAGCCCTGTCTACACCTCCCTTGAACCGTGAGCCCGAGCTTGCCTCGCTGACCTCCTCCTTCCTTACCGACATTTCCATCCGACCATACGACCGGAACCACTGCCCCATCCCAGACAATCTCGACGCCTCTACCCACCGCGTCTACGTCGATGGCTTGGTCGCCAACTCGCTCAATCTCTCCATCTCCGATCTGCGCAATAGCTTCCCCCAGCATGACGTTACCTGCCTGCTCCAATGCGCCGGCAACCGTCGCCACACCATGCGAACCCTGCTGAAAGAAGTAGACGGCGTAGACTGGGGCTCAGCCGCTGTCATGAATTGCACCTGGCGTGGCCCGAGACTCCGCGACGTCCTCCTCAAGGCCGCTCCCACGCTTGCTGACGAAGATGGGGGTGAGCGCAAGGTCGACGACTTGCAGCAGGAGCTGCACGTGGCGTTTGCATGCAATGCCGTCCCCTGCCAAGACGATTCGTGGTATGGGGCCTCCATTTCCATGGACCGCGCTCTTCGCGAGAATGCAGAGGTGATTCTAGCCCTGGAAATGAACGGCGCGCCCTTGACACAGGAGCACGGGTTTCCCGTGCGCGTCATCGTTCCAGGCGTGGCGGGCGCGAGGGCCGTGAAGTGGTTGGATCACATCACAGTGCAGCGGGAAATGAGCAGCAATCATTATATGCATTTCGACTACAAGGTCCTACCACCAGAAGCGGTCGATGCGGAAAGGGCACGCACCTTCTGGCATAAAATCCCGCCGGTGATCGACATGCCAGCGAATTCTGCCATCACGTCGCCACGAAATGAAGACACGGTGGAAGTGGATGCAGAGGGATTTATCACGGTGGATGGGTACGCTTTGCCGGGGGGAGAAGGTGGGCCGGTGAAAAGAGTCGAGGTCTCCATTGACAAGGAGAGATGGGTCGACGCGGAACTGTTTACACATCCCCTGGAAAGCAAGTGGACTTGGAAAATCTGGAAGGCCAAAGTGCAGGTCGAGCCGGGCGAGCGAAGATGTCTCTACAGCAGAACCATTGATGAAGCGGGCAACTCGCAGCCACAGCGTTCTCAGTGGAACCTGAGAGGCGTATGTTACAACGGCTATGGAGAAGTGAGGAATTTGAAGGTGGTGAAAGGATAGGCCCAATCGTTCATTCCATCATCCATCAAGATGTGTCTGTATGTGTATGAAGGCCTGAAGCGACCACGGGACCCTAATGCCTGAAACTTGAATCATCTATTCAAACGCGATTTTCCGAGGTTATCAGTCTTTGTTGTGCGCACTATGAGCTCTCGCGTGCAGAGCTTGTTCAATAATCGTTGCGAGAGCGAGTGCGCACTCTTCTTGTAGCCTTGGACATATCACCTGCAAGCCGACTGGCATATTCTGCGCGTCATCCTCGCAGTCTGCCATATCAGAGTCAGTTTCGGAAGATGCACTACTGTTTTGTGGTCCAAAAGCTTACACGTCCTTTTCACAACCTCATCCATCTTGCTCAGATTAGATGGACTCGCAACGGCTTTTGCGTCGCTGTAGCCCTCTCGAGCGACGGAGAAAGCAACCGCAGGCAGATCCAACACGTTAGCTATAGCCGAGTAGGCGAGATAATGGAACTCGCCTGCGCGCACTGCGGACGTGGGTGCGACAGGCAGAACAACACCGTCAACAGCCCTGCCTGAGGCTGAGCAGCCGCCCATTTGCGCCCAGTAAGCGGCATACGCCTGCTTGTATTCTTCCCGCCGCTGACACAAGTCCCAGAACTCGGCCGTCGAGTTACTAGTAACATTCGGCTGGTCGAACAGCGTACGTATCTGAGCTATCGGGGGCTCGCCGCTTGCCTTGATGGCTTCGACGATAGCCGGGCCTGCAGCAGAACCGAAAATCTTGAGCTTTGGTAACATGGCCTTTAGCATCAACTGAACCGTCCAATGGAGCTTCGAAGGCATACCAGATTTTCAACTGCCTCTGGGTGGGGAGGTGGGTTCCAATCAACAATCTACAAGATTCCAGTCATTAAGTCGTTTGCAGACGATAGGATACTTTGATGATATACTTCGTGGCCCTCTTTCTCGAGCGTCTCCTTCACATGTTCTAGCGCTCGTGCGACATTTGGATGCGGTTGAACATTTTGGTCGCAAGCCATGAGACCAAGGACCAGTCTTCCTGAAGAGTAACCGGACGCCCCGGCTCTTTTCGCGATGGCATCATGTTTCTCTGCGCGCCACGGTAATTCGATGACATTGGGGTCCTCCCGCCATGGCTCACTTTCCAGCAATGTTTTAAAAACTAGTTCAACAGAACTGATGTCTTTAGCCATGAGGCCAATGCTGCCCGAAGCTACGGGCAAGCCTCTCAGCTGTCCAAGGTCAGTACGGTGTGGCATTGAGGCATCTGCTTAGCATCTGAGTTCGGAAGACAACAGCCACTTACGATGGTCGCGATTCCCGAGGTGGACAGTCGGCCTTCAGAAGTTTTGAGAGCAGCTAAACCATTGAAAGCCGCAGGGATACGACTGGAACCCACTGCGAGCGCGTCAGAAACGCGGGCTCTTTTGGGCTAATGTGGAAAAACACGTACCAAGGTCCGTACCTATTCCGACGGCAGAGCCGCCAAGGGCAAGCAAAGCACCTTCCCCTGAGTCAGGTCAGCATTGGCATAGCAAATATAGCAGGTGTTGCTAAGGAAGAGAAAGACCTCCGCACGCGCCTCCAGCCGATAGCTTGATGTTGCAAGGATTGACGGTGAATCCCACGATGTTGTTAACGGTCTCGCCCATCTGCGATACAGTCCATGTCAGTCGTCGCAAGAGCAACACAGAACGGGGTTCTGGGCAAGGCCATCGGGTCGTACCAGAGCACCCATGGAAACGTTCGTCTTGCAATAGACAAGAGCACCAGCATGGCGGAGAGCACGAAGCACCACGCCTTCGTCATCAATGGTCTTCGGATGGCCGATCCAGCTTGCGAACCCGCAAGTGCTGTCCAGGCCAGCGACGTGGAAGCGGTCCATCAAGCTGACTGGAAGGCCGTGCAAAGGGCCTGACGGCCGGCGGTGCTTGCGAAAGTAAGCATCCAAATGCTGAGCCCGGGCGGTTGCGGCGGCGAAGTCGAGCTCGCAAAGGCAGTTCGTCAACTGGTGAGCCAGGGCAGCGCGGTGGCTGAAGGCACCACAGACCTCGCTGGCGGTGTAATCGCCACAACGCAGGGCGAGCAGCAGTGGGGCGGCTGGGAGCGCGGTGATGGCCTGCTCGACTGGACTAAGTAAGGACTGGCTGGCACGAGGAGAGCTCAGTCAGTGCTATCAGTGCAGGAATGTGAGTAGAGACTCACGGGCAAGACAGTGCGGACGTCGATGTGCGCTTTGGCTCGGCGCAGCTCGACTTCGCTCAGCCGCCAGTGCACGGGAATGCAGGCGAGAAGGGCATCGCGTTTGTTGCGGATGGCCGCCTCCCAGTCCATCTTTTGCGTACTGTGCGTATCGTATGGGTGGACTCTGTATCTATCGTACGGTGTCTGTTTGTATTGTATAGGGTCTGTACGCAACGTATAGCATGCACTGTATGGTGTTTTACAGCATGGGATTGTGTACGGCGGTATTTTGTGGCACGATGTGATACGATGTATTGTAGTAAGTGTAGTGGAGTGTAGTATGGTAAATAAGTGCATGCTGCCTGCGTGCATGTTCGCCAATCCCCACTGAGCGCCCCAGAGTGACATGCCACTCATGCCCAAGCGACCGCTTGCTCCGCAATAATAATACGACTAATCTTGCGCAATGTCATGACTAAGCAATTTTCCATCCGCTTCAGCATCTCGTCCAGTCATCACACTACGCATTGTCCGCTTGGTTCATTCATCCATCTCATGCTCGGAAGCAGTTGTCCCTCGAGCCTTCGCTTCCCTCTCCTCGACGTCCTTCAAGCACGGTGCGGCCAACACAGATCCCTTCCACAAATGCTGCAAGGTGCCGAGCGAGACGATGATCCAGAGAATCGTCACCGCAACCGAGAAAATGGTTCCCAAAACGCGGAAAAAGGCCGACGGTATCTCTTTCGCGAGCGTAGTAGTGCATACGGTATACACGCCCAGGGGAAAGGTGAACCCCCACCAGCCCATGTTGAAAGGAAATCGTTGAGAACGAACGATGGTCGCAACGGCGAAACATAGCCACACCAGCCCAAAGCCCCACATGATGATGGCAATGAAGAAGCCAGCGACATACAGTATTTCGCCTGCGTGTGGGGCGGCGGGGACGGTGTGCGTCTGCGGGAATATTTCTAGGGCAACTTTGCCCAGCTGCATGATGCCAAAGCCTCCCTGGCCAAGCGGTCCAAGCGGTAGGAAAGTCGAGACTACGACTGCTTTAGGCGGCAAATTGTGTGTCGTAAGACGCAAGAAGTATATTACCAGGATAACCATCGCGAGGGGTACGCCTGTGCCCCAAAGAACGTACGATGTAAGAATTGTGATAAGCGCGTATTCAGCATGAGGCAGGACGCCTGCAACCAGGGATCCGGTCGCCGCTGCAACAATAGTCGAAACGACCGGCAACAGCCAGGCTGCCGTTATGGTTTCGACCGAGTGGCCGTGGACTGTCATCCTATCACACGCGTTAACAACCCATGACTGATGATGCAGATTCGATGAACTTACAACACGAAAGGCAGATAGAAGCAGCTGGATACAGAAATAGCAGCGTCTATCCACCAGAGCGCCCAGGCAACCTTCCACCAACTGCCTTGCCAGGAAGGCACGCAGACGAAGACAATCATGTTGATAATGGTCGCGAGTCCCATGGGAAAGGTCCCTATGAACAGAGATTGAGCAGGATGGCGAATCATCGAGACCCAGATCTTAGGATAGAGGCAATACCGTAAGATGGAGATGGCCAGAAAAACAACAAAGAGGAGCACATTGAGCGCGAAGAGGATATACGAAATGTACTGCAGCCAGCGGCCATTGTAGGGTAAATTATGCAGCAGAATACTCGTAATGCCAGTGCCCATGTTGACCGAGAACCATGAAGGAGTAAAGTTGCGAACGATTGACCGCCATCCTTGCCGACGCCGTGCGCAGATGGCCGCTTCGCAATTTCCAAGTCCTGAGGGATCGTGAGGGGGCCCAGAGCAATCGTTTTGACAAGCCATGTGATGAAGCTGTGTCGGTGGGAGTAGGGTTGATCGATGCTGCGTGGCGTAAAGGTACGTATCCAGTAGAAACGAGAAGTCGGGTGAAAATGGACAATGACAAGCATACCTATATACGGAGGTACGGACAAGCGGACAAGGGAGTGTAAACAAGGGAGGCTCGGGAGTGCCAAAGCCTTGCGCACTAGTCTTTCTAGCGCTTCCGCACCACCCGAACAACGACTGATCAACATCGACTTTTAAGCATCTCTTCTAGTCTATCTAGTCTTTCTAGCGCTTCCGCACCACCCGAACAACGACTCATCAGTCGTGACTGTGGTCACGAGCCATAGTTAATCACATACCTACATACTACATTCTGTCATTCCCCTCCCAACGCGACCGATCACGTGTCTCACCTAAAATGTTGTCCTTTGTGTCCATATTTAGACAATCTCGTTCCTTGTACACAGAGATCCGCCCGGCCGCTTGATCGCTGGTGCATCCATCCTGTGAGGCCATGTCGTCCAGCCAGCAACCCCACACAGTCGAATTGGAAGAAGTCGATCGAAGAGGAATCCCGGTTGCAACTACGGGCCCAATCAAGAAATCTTCATGGTGGCAGAGACACATTGCTCTAGATATGCCGTTTCACGCTTGTAGAGATTTCTAGTCATTTGTGTAGGGGCGTTCAGATGTTGGCAGCAACAACGTCTCGTCTCGAATGGCAAAGTACAGAGCTGTGGTTGGGATGTCTGGATTATGCAGCGTTGTCATTACATGACACGTGTAGCTGGACGTGAGGACCCTCATCCTACATGTACCTGCCTCATCCTCATCCTACACGGCCTACCCTCATGTTACCTTGACCGGTCTCTACTGCGTATAACAATTCGGAGGCATCCTGGAAGGATAGGAATGGCATGGAACATAACTTGTCCACAAATCAAAGGTCATTCTGAAGAGAAGTGTCCATCGTGGTTGTTCGTCTGCTTGCAACAGTGGTCCCAATTTGAGAAGCGGCACAAATTAATACGCTTTGGTCGGCAGGCTTTTCGATGTGCTCCGCTGCGCTTGAGTCTCTCGCCTCTTAGAAGGGTCAAAAAGGCACAGAAAGCGAGTACGAGGTCACGAATGGACGACGTCTCGGACAGAGCCTCCTGGGTGCAGACTCGATTGCGTGCGCACTGATGCAACGGTGGTCAGTCTGATGGCAAGCGACAAACGTCGATTTGAGTAGATTTGCCCCCACAATGATGGACGTGTCAAAAGAACAATCTGTGCCATGGCGAGAGTCTGTGTACATGTACGTAAATCAAACAGTCGCGCCATCGATCTCTTCAGCAACGAGCTGGAGACTGAGTTGAGTCCGCTCTGCCTTCCTCCACAGGTCCACAACTTCCTAAGATAGATCAATCAAAGGAATATCTTGGCGACAAGCAGGACAGTTTGAAACTTCCTCCACAACCCATTTGTTTATGCAATCTCGGCAAAAGGCTGCATCGCAGCCGGCGTGTTTGTATCCGTCTCTGTTCTCTGTAGTCTCGAAACAGATTCTACACCGGAGTGCTTCTTCCTCCTCGGCGCAATGACGGACGTGTGTGATGTTCCGCTGGTACTCATAGCGCTTCGTTGTCTCCTGGAGCTCTCGCCGGTGACGAGTCACCAAACTTTGGAACTCGTGTATATGACCTATCCTGTGCGCCTGCAGCATTTGCTGATGGTAATTGTCAAACTCATTTAGCTGGCGTTGATTGCTGGCTGTGAGCCTCGCTCGCGTACATGGCGGTCGCTTTCGCGCTGCAGCTCGCCCCGATGCTGAGCTTCTAGCTTCTGTACATCGTCTCGTTGGCGAATGTCTTGCTCCTGTAGCTCACGACGATGGCGTGCGTCTTCCTTTTTTGTCTCGATCTGGCGTTCGGCCTGTCGCCCCGCACACGCGCGCTCTTGCGGGCTTTTCGCTGCTCCTGGCGGTGGCGAGCATCGATACAGCAAGGATCGAACGTTCTGTGAGTCAAGCGGCAGCGCTTGAGCGTTCTGTGTGCTTCGCGCACATCTTTCAAACTCGGACAGCTCCACGCGGCCAAAAAACCCGCCGCATCCTTAGGCACGCACTTAAAAGCGCGCTTTGCCGTCTTTATAATTGATTTTATAATTGATTGGAAAATGATCCACTCTGCTGCCGCACAATGTTCATCTCCGATAGTACAGTAGCGGCCTCTCATGAAACCATATGAAGCCCTGAATGTCAGGCCACGTTTGTAGAGCGATCGAGGTCACGGGGTTGAGTGATACTCCTGTCGTCGGTAGATGGTGTAGTGCTTTTAGGGCGGCGTCTCGGCTTTTGCGCAGGGTTGACAGCGTGTGTAGCTAGAAAGATGCAGGCGAAGATCGGCCAAATAAGATTCAAAGTTGTCGTCGGGCGCACTGATCAAGCCGCCCACGTCTTGAGGGAACAGCTGCCATGAGGCGCTGTCTGAAGGCATAGTCGGTAGAGATTGAGCGTCGACGGTTCAGGATCTGGTGTTGCGTGTGAGACTGCTGATGAGAGAACCGAGCTGATAGAAGGAAAGCGACACGGCCGTGCGAGAAGTTGACGGGTTATTAGTACACATCTTTCACCGAGGCCGCCCTCAACACCACCGACAAGAAGCACTTGGTACATGAATGGTCAATTTGATAATGTCTTCTACTAGCTGCGCCTACCTCGCACGCTAGTAGACAGCGGTGCACAATCTTGGACGCGTACTATTTTTGACTCATGCCCTACTTTTAAACTATCGGGTGTCCCCGAGCTGCGTGCTCACAGACCGAGGTGTAATCAACCTTTGGACGTCACAGAGTCATCGTCGCAGTTCTCTCAGAGGTGCCGGCATCAAATTACCATGGATCAATCTCACAATGACCCCGATCCTTGTCCCTACCACGCACATTGCACACCCGTGGACTTTCGAATTGATTGGTCATGAAGCTCTGCGACGGGGGTCTGCTGTGTGCCACGGAAATTTATCAGTGACCCCGCACCTTCGCGTCACGCACATCCATCGCAGTCTTCGAGATTTAGAGTGATACACGCAATTGCACACGACCTGACAGCGAGCGTCATGGGGGTATCGGAGGCGCAAGCATTATGCGAATTCACTGACAAAGAGTGGAACAAATTTCTGGTATGCCGCGCCGCCGCCGCCTGCAGCAGACTTCGCTTACCAAGGAAAAGAAAGCTACGAGAACTTTGGTGGTGCTCTTCTTCGGTGTCGAAGCCGACCTCAAGGTCAAGGACGCAACTTATCAGAACAAGGCGAAGGAATGGGCGGAGATAGCCCGCAGCGGGCTTGCAGAGGGCGGCTCCAAGTGGTCATGGGACGACCTGTCGGATGACGATCAGGCTGCTGCTTTGCACATCGTCAAAGACTATATAGGGAATGGAAAGGAGGTCAACGCCCGTGGCTTCGAACTGCGCATGACGGAGGCATTCCGGTACCAACGAAGGAAAATAGCAGAAAGCAGTGAGCACGACCGCGACGGCGTTAACAACGAACCTCTCCGCGGTGACAATGGATCTCTTCGCGGTCACAACGAAACCCTACCCTCGATTCACAACTTATTTGATCATATGGATAGCGGGAATGAAATGCGATGATGCGCAATTCCCAGTGCCCATGATCGATGCTTTGCAATGGCGAATGGGAAAGAACCGGCAGCAACGGAATCCACATCGGGACCTTTGTCAGAGCGTGTATTTGGGCAGTGGCTTGATCAATGGGCACCCAGGCTGCCACATAAGGTTATGTGTGGAGCAACGAAGACCATAACGAGCTCGTCTTCTCGTGCATTGAACCTGGGCACAGCGAAATGACAAGATGTGGAGAGTACCGCGGACGCCGCGCGTGTGAAGGGGAGTGATGCGTGCTGTGGACATCGCAACACCAACTACTGATTTCACTATGTCACGGTCAAGTAAGCTACTGATTGAGGATCGCGCGTATCTTTGGATGAGGCAGTAACTTCGCTTTTTGTATTCGAAAATGCACTGCCACCCTCCTGGTCGTGACTCAATGACGTGTTCTCTTCCATGGAACTTTTGATGTATAAAAGTAGCACGCGGCGGAGCGATAGACATCGTGGTACGTATCTGGCGGGTGACGTTTGGAAGAGTCCTGGCAGAGCCATTGCCATCGTCACTAACGTCATCGTCTTCGTTATTGTTGTCCGGCAAGATTAGAGAGCCATCTGTGATGGGCAAAGCGTCGGCGCGATCGCCGTTTCGCCGCGTTGAGGGAAAGACTTTTGCGCAGCACGCACTGTGTACAATAGAAACCGACGTGAATTGATCTGCCGTCTATGTGTCCGGCTGAGCGCTTTCCGCACGCACAAACTTTTGGCGTGTTGAGTATGCCCGAGCGAGATTGGACTCTGTGATTTCGACGCATTCTCATTCTCATACGCTTCGTTGTTCCACGACGGCCGATATTTGACACTCTTGTCGTGGCATGTCCCCGAGCCCCCTGCAAGCCTCCTCTTTCATTGGCCCGAACGTTGGCCACTTCTTGGGCGGTGTTGCTGCCGTGGACTGAATCGCCCGCCCGAGCGCCGCTAAGCCCCGCTCCGAGAGGCGGTTCTGCCCGGTGATCTCCTCGAGATCAACGTGCTTTTTCTGCTCGGAGGCGTCGAGAGGCACTGCCTGCGTCTATAGAGACTGCAGGCCAGCCGTCCTTGTGTCGAATTGATGTGTAAAAACGGTGTCGCCGGCGTCGTCTTCGTCGTTGTCTGACAAAGCTTCAAGTCGATCGGCACGAGCTATTTGGGGAGTGGAAATGGCATCGGCGTAATCGCGATCTGACTGCCACCATCAGCCGTCACAGACGAAAGGAATTCTCCAAGGCCGGTGGAGCCCTGCGAATTGATCGCCATCAATCAGGGTGGATAAGGAGGCCTTCTCATCCGTAGAATGGAATAGCGGTGCCACGGCTGCGGCGCGCGACTTCATGTGTGTGCAAAGTCTGAGGCAAGCGCAGGATCGCGGGAATTGGCCGTAGTCGAATGAAGATGTTGCGGAGGCCAGCTGAAGCGAAGCCGCGAATTACTGGCGCGGGACCCTCTCAGCTATCAGATGAAACTTCTTTTCCACGGGAAACTGTTTTGCTCATCATCGTGAGACGACCTCGGGAGTCTTCGCAGACTCCGGTATCGTCTGCGACCGTCAAATATTGTAAATGTCCGACTCCCTCGTTGATGCCGACCCCTTTTCTCCAAAAACTGAAACGCACATATCTTGGGGCTATCTATAGATGTAACCCTAAGATGGCTGCCGGCTATGGCGTCATAGCCGAAGCCCCGGAGGCCCCTGCCGATCGCCTTGAAGCCTCAATTGATGACCTTGGCTTGGAAGGTTTCAAAATTCCTCCCTTCCCTCCCCAAACATCATCAACTTGCAGAACACATCACGCACGATGGTGGTCCCCAACTGCACTATTGTCATGGTGATGTACACCTCTCTTAAGAACTCTTCAGCTATATCAGGCACTGAGTACGTTGCCGCCCGAGCATCTCAACATTTTAGTAACGTCACTGACCCTGGAGCTACGCAGCTTTAATGCTCGAGCGACCAAGCACGACGATTCATGCCGACATGATTTTGCACACTTACCAGTTGATCGGACTGATATAGTGAGAACACGACATCAAATCTTCGCGAGCACGACCTCAGACCGAAGCGCAAATCTGTGAACAGATACCCACTTCGTACGCGTCGAGAGCTACAGCAAACCCGACACCTCTGGAGATCAATCTCCATGGCTCCATCAGATTGAAGTTACTCTACAACAGAACATTATCCGACCAGTCGTTCCGCCTCATCAGCATCACTGGCACCACCAGCGCGATGCAGGAGGGCTGTTTCCGCCATCCAGCCTGACCCGCCGACGTTGCACCAGTTTGGCAGCGGATGACTCCATCATAACAAAACCGTCGCCGAACCAAATCACCGCAGGTTCCTCCGGATCACTGGGCCAATGACGAGATTTCTTTTCCATGTGGTTGTGGATAACGGCTCCGAGCCATGCGAATGGCGACGCCCTACCACCGACTTTCCAAATACTGCAGACGCCCAATAGATCCATACTGATGTCTGCACGCAATGAACTCTCTGACAGGCGCATCCCGGCCACGCCACAGCAGTGTGCCTCGCGCTGTCATACGCTCAGGTCAGGACGTACGCCCAACCTTGAGCTGAGCACACGTCAACGCGTGTCAAGCAGACCGAGCTGGTGAAGCCGAACCCTGACAGACTTTTTTGCGACGATGATACTGCTCTTTCGCTCCACGGCAAAGACGCCTGGGGAGCATGAGATGAATTCCCGCGATTGTCCCACTCCGCATTCCGGGCACGACACTCATGGATGACGACAATTTGCCCGATCAATGGCTCATCATCGACCAGACGCCGCCTCGCTCGAGCCGTTCTACCTGATCACGATATGCTCCTTTGAGTGGACCGAAGACGGAGATATCACATGGCTGCAGTTTATGGGATGTGTGGGAAGGCAGGCGGCAAAGTATGATCTGGTGCTGAAGAGCGAACTCAAGGACCTCGAGGGTTTCATGGGTGCCAAAGCCGTCACAAATCAGCACACGCGGTCGCTGTCCCGCTCGGTCTCTCGTTTGCGGATCAAACACCAGACGGAGCCACTGCAGGCTGAGATATGAGTCTGTATATCCGCTGTCGGAGTAGGCATAATGCCATCCAGGTGTAGGATGAGTCACCCAGTTCGCTCGGTGGGTGGCCGCGGGCCAGATGATCATCGGATGTAGATATCGCCCGTCAGCACTCATACACTCGACTGCTGTCACGGTCGTCCGCTTCACACGTGCGCCTCGGCAGCCGTGCCGGTTCGTTCTATCCATGATAACCCTCACCGAATTCAGCTT